AAGATTTTTCTAGAAATTGAGTGTTTCACTATAACTAGTATCATTTCAATTTTCTTTTTAAAAATATAACTTTAATATCTGATGCTCGTCACATGCACACATTTCAAATGCAATTGTATAGAACTTGGACAATTAAAGCTGTAAAAACGCCATATTCCAAGTGTTCCGATCAGCGTGGATTCGTAGTCATTGACAAACATATTTTTGTTAAAAAATCAGGTAAACATGTGTCTTGGTTTCTTTTGTGGAATGTCTAAAAAAAAAAGTTACACAAAACCCCTACAATCTAATGATTTTAACGTATTTTGTGTACTGTTGTTTGCCTTTTCGGTTTTTTTTCCGGCCATGGCGTTTTCAGCTAGTTTTCGATATATGAGTTAGACTATCCCTGGTATCTTTTGTCTCTCTTTAAGGACCACGTAAATATAATAAAGGTCATTACAGAGTAATTAAAATTCAAGTGGGAAGAATCAGTCTATGGTTTATGAAGAAGAAATTTATTATATTCCATTCTTTCTAGAATAACAAATCAATAAAATTATTTAATCAGATTTAGGCATTTATATTTTCATACACTTCAAAGAAATGATTTGGATCATAGTTAAAAGCTGGATTGAGGACTTCTTAAATCTTTACAAGCTTAATTCATTTGTCATATTTTGATATAACAAAATGATACAACTCAATATTTATAGCCGTCATCAATAATCTCCTGAGTCTATTTGTGCTTGAATTACATTTTATATCTACTATGTAGTCTTTGTATAATTCAAACGGTTTAGTAGTATATCAAAATTCACACACAATAAGACATTTTTGTAGAGATCAGTATTTTAAAGATAAAACCTAAGCTCCTTTAAATTTGATCTATTTCGAAATTGGGATGAAGTGGCAGTTATCAGAATCTTAAGTGCACAAATAATTGAACACTTTGATAAAAAGACCAAGGAATGCTGACTTTACAAACACATTTGTCCTTCACATTATAATATAAACATTTTCTTTTAACATTCAGCTTCTTAAAAGATAGACGAAAGATACCAAAGGGAAATTTAAACTTCTAAGTCGAAAAAAATAAACTGACATTGCAATGGCAAAAACGAAATGGACCAAGTCTAATTCGGTAGGTCACATTCAGGGAAAAGAGGACGGGATTGTAGTTACGACAATTGGAACATATCCGTCATCATCTGTGACACAGATATTCCATAACGATCAACCAACTCGTAATGGCGTCCGAAAGGCGTCCGTAAGTGTCGAAGGAATGATTTCAACTTCACCACTTGGAACTTTTGGTTTAATAGCTTCCTTGTGAGCAGCAAACCTCTATCAAGGAGGTCAAGATAGGAAATTCAAGCCCTGGAATATCGTACCAACTGGGAGATACCTCCATATGCAGGCGCTGCTGGAATGTTGCCGTTGTTTTCCATTCGTTTGATGTGTTTGAGCTTTTAATTTTGCCATTTGATAAAGGACTTTCGGTTTAAATTTTCCTTGGAGTTCGGTATTTTTGTTATTTTACTTTTTGTTACATAGAAATAGAAAGTTCACAATTGGGAAGCCGAAATCACCTCTTTTGTCGAAAGGTTTTGTTCTCAAAGAGGGACGAAAGATACCAGAGGGACATTCAAACTCATAGATCGAAAACAAACTGACAACGCCATGGCCAAAAATAAAAAGACAAACAGACAAATAATAGTACAGATGACACAACATAGAAAACTAAAGTCTAACCTACCCTCAGTCAAGATGTAAGTCAAGATGTGAAGCAGACTTAACTTAATCTGTTGTTAATAATTCAATCTATGAAAAAAGGATAATATAGTATTTTGAAATATATAGTTACTCATATATGGTATGCCTACACCACAGAAAACATGAAACTATACTGCATTGTTGGACCTGATTTGTGTTCTTTTTAGTATTAAACTGCGTTGTATATGTTTTATACTAGTATTTAACCTGATTAGTTCATATTTTAGTATTTAACTATGCTGTATGTGTTTTATACTGGTTTTGAACCTGATGTGTGTACTGTTGAGTAACTGTGTTATAAGTGTTTCATACTGGTATTGCACCTGATTTGTTCAACATTTAGTATTGAACTGTATTGTATGTGTTCAAAAGAGATTGTATAACTTGAACAATTAAGGCAACTGAAAAAGCACTTTATTCATGTGTTCCAATCACCATAGGTTTCTCCTTTAGTATTGACCGGTGTTGCATGTGATTTTAAATGACAATGAACCTGATATGTGTACCGTTCAGTATTGAATTGTGTTGCATGTGTTTTATTTTAGTATTGAACCTAATTGTTTATAATTTAGTATTGAACTGTGTTGTACGTATTTTATACTATCATTGATAAAATTGAAATGGAAACGGGGAATGCGTCAAAGAGACAACAACCCGACCAAAGAGTTTGGTTGAACTTGATTAGTTTACCGTTTAGAATTGAACCCTGTTGTATGTGTTTTAAATTGGTATTGAAACTGATTTGTTTATCATTTAGTATTAGACTGTGTTGTGTGCGATAGATTGTTATATATTTGTATTTTACTGTTATATATGATCTTGTCATAGGTACCAGGATTCGAATTTTGTACTGCAGACGCTTGAATAAAAACAAATTAAAAAGGCCAAATAAAGTACGAAGCTGAAGAGCATTGAGGATCCACAATTCTGCAAGGTTTTGCCAAATACAGCTAAGGTAATCTATTCCTAGGGAAGATATTCCTTTATGAGATACACAGTAGTGTATTGAACTATAGTTTGTGTCATGTACTGCTGAGTATTATTCTGTGTTTTGCATAAACTTGCTCTTTTTTATTGTGCTTTACTTAAAAATATCTTATAATACTCTGATTTTAAATATTCTTGGTTATGAATTACATGCGTTTTGTATAATCGTGTTCGACAAATTATGATTCGAACCACCTGGATATGTTGGTATGAACACATATGCCCCAGCCTGCTACCTCATCGCGAAAAGTAAGCTATAATACCCTCATAAGTTGGTCACTTGAAATGAAACAAGCTCGACCTTTCAATCATCATTATACACTAATGAATCAAAAATCTGCCGCGGATCTGCTTGTATTACAAAAAAAGGCTGGACAATTGTTTGATTTCAGAAATACAGAAGGACAGAAAAGAAGACTTCAGAAACACCTTATGCCATGGCCACCTGAGCTCAAATTCACTTTTAACTTGTACAAAGAATACTCGTACATATAGCATTACATTCTTAGAATAATACTTTTTAAAGATATTTTAACCTTGATCATTCAGAAGGTATGCAAATATCGCCTCATTTGAGTTTTTTTTCAATAATATCTAGTTATGAGCTCTGTGAGATATCTGGAGTCAAGTGAGTAAAATATCTTTTTATGAGGCTATTGCTAAACATATGATGGAATAAACACATCAAAAGTTACCTGGCTTATATTTTGTACGCCAAAACGGTATTTCACCTACACACGACTCAGTGATGCTCCAATAAAAAAATTGAAGGTCAAATCAATTAGAAGTAAAAAACCTAAAATTAAAAAACGTAGTATCATATTCAGCTAAGGCCATCCATGCCTGTTGTTAAAAAAATCTTAATATTTTGGATGATTTTTTAGTTTTATGACCAGTTAATCTAAGAAGAATTAATTATTGTTTCATGTTAGCCCAGGATTGGTGGCTACTGGGCTAGGAACACCTTTGGAGATGAAACATCCACCAACAGTGGCATCAAATCAAGGGTTGTAAAAATTCGCCAAAGATTCCATGCTTTTTTCGTTTTTCATTTTTCGGTACTAACATTGATTTTTTTTAGTTTTTTGAAAAAGTAAAACATAACTTAATATATATTGCTATATATGTACTACATCCTGTTGATACTGTTTACTGGTTGCACAAGGTCAAGCTAAATCTGTTGATTGATACTTAAGTCTGGGAGAATGTGATTTATTAATTAGTTGTAATTGGCTTTGAACTAACTTTGAGTACCGGGGAGTACTCTTACTTCGGTGCTTTGTGTCTATTGTTTTTATGTTCGTTATGTTTGTGCCTCACACCTATCTTTTGAGTTAAGCCAATTGCAACTGATTTTAACAGTTTGTTTTTATATTGTGCTGTTACACCACTGTCCCAGGTTACGGAAGGGTTGAGAGCTCACAAACATTTTTAACCCCGCCACATTCTTTATGTGCCTGTCCCAAGTCAGGAGCATGTAGTTCGGTGGTTGTCATTGGTTCATGTATGTATCATTTGTTTTTCGTAAATTGTGGGTGGTACTATGTCTCTTTGGCATTCATACCACATTTATTTGTTAACATCACAACTGTCATATCTGCATTTGGGTGTTCAGATTATATCAACATATCAATAATATCATGTCAATTTCCAGGGGACCAGAAAAAGCTTTTTTTTAAAACCACCTCATTTAGGTATATCTGAAATCATTTGAGTATGATTGATGTACAAACTACTACTTATGAGCATCATGTCATCACAGAAAATTGTTAAATTCATGAAAATGTAAGAAAATGCAATGATGAAAGATACAAAGATACTAGGATTGAAATTTTGTATTTGCGCCAGATCACGTTTCATCTACAAAAGACTCATCAGTGACGCTCGAATAAAAAATAGGTAAAAAGGCCAAATAAAGTATGAAGTTGAAGAGCATTGAGGACCAAAAATTCCTAAATGTTTTGCCAAATAATGCTAAGGTAATCTTTACCTGAGGTAGAAAAGCCTTAGTATTTCAAAAATGTAAAGTTTTGTAAACAGTTAATTTATAATTATGACCATATCAATGATAATTCATGTCAACACAGAAGTGCTGACTACTGGGCTGGTGATACCCTCGGGGAATAAAAACTCCACCAGCAGTGGCATCGACCACCAATCATAAAACATTGATTTCTCTTAGTGTACTATGCATTATCTGTGTAATGATAACATGTCTAAATGCAAATAATATATGAATTTTGTAATAATAAAATGCATGCTTTCAATGTTTTTTTATTAATAAAAATAACAAAAATAACTTGTATTGCACAAATTCTTACAACCAAGAAAGAATGAAACTATAAATATTGGTCCTCTTCTTTTGAATTCATATACATTTATGGAAACACTTGAAACCACTTTTCTATGCATGTATTATAAATGATGTTAGACTACTGATACACTATACGTTAACATAAAATCTGTAGTTTACTTTTAAATATGAATAAAAGAAGAGATGAAGTATAAGTAAAATGTTAACAAGGGCTGTTCCACAATCGATTATATGGGGCAAGAGGTAGGGTTGGTTGGAAGGCACGTCTTTTAAAAATAAGACATGAAGTGATTATTAAAGAATGACAGCCTGAATAATTTAAGGAATTTACCAATTAAAATTTGATGCAAGGCAGCATAAAAAAAGTGCATTTCTGTCCCTTCCTCCACCAAATACTTTTATTTCTGAAACAGCCCTGAAGCAGGAACATAACAACACAACATTTAAAGACATCTAGGTCTGTATAATAGTCCATACTTTCTCTGATAAGACATATTAACACCAAAGTAACTTTTATACCTTGTTAAACTTTGAATATAGGTCATGGAGTGTAAGTCAACTAAACTTCTCTTAGGACACATGTAGATTATTAATAACTGTAAATTCTGCAATTTTTGTGATTTTTTTATTACTTCGTTGTGACAGGATAAGTTTCACAAGAACAAAAACTTGCATAGATTTTAATTGCAATATTTGTATATAAGATTTCATGATATCACAATAATTATTCAAGCTATGTTGTGTATTGTCAAAAAATCGCAATAAAAAATGCATGCAAAAAATTCTGAATTTACTGTGCAGTATTAAGTTAAACTTCCTGTCACGTTCTAAAATTACATTACAGCACCTTCATCAATGGCCCTTTACATATGATTTCATTCTCAGCATAAAATGTTGAATGCTTGAATTAAAATATCTCAAGGCACACAGCTTTGACACTAGAATTTGTTGTTTTGTACAAATCCATAAGATCTGCCTGTGCAATAATTTTACTTATAACTCATTTATATTAATACTGAAAAAATGACTTTGTTCTTTTATCGAAATATGTATATCATTTCATTGAGGGTGATTTAAGTTTTGTTGGCTATAATGTCTTTGATATAAGCACCAGAATCACCATTCTCCAGAGTTGTAACAATGTCTTTTAGGCTAAATTCTACTGCTAAACTGTACTGTAGTTTAATGTCTTTACAAAATGTTAGTAACTTTTTCAAATTATTCAAGGATGAATTAGTCTTGTTTGGTGTATGTTGGTATCTGAAAAAGAAATCATCATTACTAATTATATATCTATAGTAGGTCATCATGTTTTGTTATTTATCTATTAAGACACTTTGGATGTTATTCAATTATGTGTTTTACATTTCTAATCTTTTAAGGCATTTTGCCATATTAGTTACACCAAATGGTTTAAAATCAAATCTAACATGGATGAAACACCTGACTGAGGATGGACAACAGGGTAGATCTAGATGATTTTCATAAAATTGTACATTTTCCTTTGATTGATCTGTCTAATATATTTTTAGATTCCGGAAAGAAAATATTCAGCCACATCACATTTTTCATGTTCATCAGCAACATTTATTAATGAAACTGACTTCATCAGCTAGAATATCAGCTCCCCCTAGAGGGGTCACTTGATATTCTTGCTGATAAAGTCAGTATCAAAACAAAAAAAGCCATTATTAAATAAAGATCCTTTACATGTATCTTTGATAGCATCCAGAATATACTTTACAATATTCAACAGACATACATTCTTTATTTGTTCAAAAATACTCAATACTTTCTATCATTTGAACAAAAGTTAACAATCACTCTTTCTTTCAATGGACAGAAAAATAGAAGAAACTACCAGAAATGACAAATTCTACATTGAATTCTAATCAAGGTAAATTCAAAAATGTTTGCAATGTTTTAATTATTGTGATGGGATAGGTTTTTGCAAAAATAAAGACTTGCATTTTAAATTTCGATAGAATTATTTGCATGCAGAATTTCCTGAAATCGCAATAATGAATCTCACATTTGTGTCTTTTGTTCAACAACCGCAAAAAAAGAAAATGCTAGCAAAAATTTCTGAATTTAAAGTACATGTATTTTTTAATTCTAAGCAGTAAAAAATATGTAGTTTGAATGATATTTCTTATTACCTACTCCTAGCAGAGGATGATATAAATATATCATATATGTCATCACAGGTTGCATCTCTTTATTTGAACATGCAAGACAAACCTTTACCCTTACCTTTCAGCAGCCTCTTTAATCTGTGTTGGTGAAAGTTTAAGATGTTGTTTAAAATCTTTTAGATATCTGAAGTCCCCATTCATAATAACATTGTGGCATAATGCATCGGACCAACAACTTCTTCTTCCATAACTTTGACTTAGTATCAATGCCTGAAATAGCATCACAGAGCAATAACAATTTGTTAAAGGCGAGGACATCATTTATCCTCATGATACAAAACATAAGCCAAAAATCAGTTAAAAGTGTGTTTCTCTCTTTCTATGTGTCAATTCCTGAATAATCTTTTACTAAATCAAAAGTTGTATCATAAAACAAAACTGTTCAATTGACAAAAATCTTATCTAACTGCTTGAGAAAAGCTGCAGTAAATGTAAATGTTGCAAGTGTAAAAGATTGATTGATTGGTGTTTGCTTTATACTGCCTGAGCACAAAAAGGCTATATTGCCGTGACAAGAATAAAAGAGAACAAGTACACAATTTTCAGGTTAAACAAATAATATTTAAATTGATCATAACCTAAATTTTATTAAATAAAAAAGATACGAGTTAAATTATGCCAAACTTTATAACCTTACAGTCTTCCCAAAGTGGTCAATTCTAACAATTGCAAGAAGATTTGTTAATATTTTTAGTATGAATTTGGTTGTAAACCTGTAAACAGAATCATAAATGCTGCTTAGATACCTCTAAGAATTTAGGATGTTGACAAATAACATCATCTGCTTCTTCATCACTTAAATGGAGTAACTGGTTTCCTGCTGGAAGATAATGTAACTGTAAGGCTACCAGTCTTGCTTGTCTAACACACTTCTGAGCATGTCGAACACATTTCTCCTGAGAATATAAATGTAAATACATACTTTCATGAAAAGAGGAATGCTTATTCAATAAAATATAAGAATGCATTTTTGCGCCTGTCCCAAGTCAGGAGCCTCTGGCCTTTGTTAGTCTTGTATGTTTGTTAATTTTAGTTCATTTATATGTTTTGGAGTTTAGTGTGACGTCCATACACATTTTTGTTTAGTGGCCAGCTGAAACCCTCATCCGGGTTCGGTATTTTCTCACTGTATTGAAGACCCATTGTTTACCTTCAGCTGTTTTCTGCTCTTTGGTCGGGTTGTTGTCCCTTTGACACATTCCCCATTTTCATTCTCAATTCTATTATTCAATAAAAATAGAAGAATGCTTATTCAATAAAAATAAAAGAATGCTTATTCAATAAAAATAGAAGAATGCTTATTCAATAAAAATAAAAGAATGCTTATTCAATAAAAATAGAAGAATGCTTATTCAATAAAAATAAAAGAATGCTTATTCAATAAAAATATAAGAATGCTTATTCAATAAAAATAAGTAAACTGAAAATTAAGAAACTTGAAACAAATAAATCTTTTATTTACAACAGAAATGCCCAAAACTTGTTTATTTGTGTTGTTGAAGGTAAATTAATAAAAGGAAATGATGGGTAAATATTGAGACAGCAACTGGAAAATATACAAAAGCAAGAATATCCTATTAAAGATCTGCTGGCAACAGTAAACCCCCAAAATGGAAGAAAATCACACAAAGATATGACAAAAGACAAACACTTACATAGTTCCTGACTTGGGACAGGCAAACACCTTAATATCAAAAGAAGGTTGAACTTTTAAGACTGTGAAATACTGATCTTGTTTAAACATTCCTTACTTATCAGATGTATGAATTGGTCATAGAAAATACATCTTTTCTGCAGGTAAATCTCAATAGCCTACCTTAAAGTAACTTTCAGCTGCGTCTGTAAAATACTGGATGATGTTCTGTAACGTTGTTTGTACATCTGGTGTATTCTCTAAGAATAGAAAACTTCTAGTTAGAGAAAAATTATACTAGAGAAATATTACATACAAATGGAATGTGTTTCACTTTTTCCGTTCATAAACTTTTGGAAAAACCATGTATGATATAACACAAAAGATTATAGAGACATAATTAAAAACAGACTTTTAAATAGCAAGAATACCATTGTTTATTTTGGAAAGTCATAATCAATCTTGAAAGATTTAAAATTTTGAATTGTCCAGAGGGAGAGGAAATAAACAGCTGCTCCATGAGCGCATGATACGCCTGTCACTTTTTCAAAGAATAAAGTTCAATAACTTCTCAATGTCATATTAGAATTTCATGAAAAACTAAAGGGAGGTTATCTTGAAATATACAAAACAGTCACCAAAGTTTCATGATAACTGCTCAAAGCATTGTACGAAAACTGGAAAATTTTGGAAAATCCCCCCTTTTTTATGAATAAAATCACATAACTCCGAAACGTAAAATCTAAAATTTATAAAAATCAAAAGGGAGCTTAAGTCAATAGATATAAACTATTCAACAAAGTTTCATGAAAACTGCTAAAAGCATTTTTGAGTAATTGTCCGAAAACTGGAAAATCCCCCTTTTTTTAATGAATAAAACCCCATAACTCGGAAATGTAAAATCTAAAATTTATAAAATTCAAAAAGGGAGATCATCACAATACACTTTCACCAATTTACCAAAGTTTCTTGTAAATTGGTGAAAGTGTTTTTGAGTTATTGTCCAAAAACTGGAAAATCCCCCTTTTTTAATGAAAAAATAACCAAAACTGGGAAACTTAAAATCTTAAATTAATTAAAAACGAAAGGGAGCTCATGTCAATAGATATAAACAATTCACCAAAGTTTCATGCGAATTGTTTAAAGAGTTATTGAGCTATTGTCTGACATGTTGACAAGAGAAGGACAGACAGACGGACAACGGTATACCATAATACGTCCGGTAAACAGGCGTATAAAAATAAGTATGATGCTATATGTTGTATTTCCTTGTATGAAGTGTTTTGCCTGGAGGAATTATTCAAATTCAGCCCCATGCATTAATATAGAGCCAGCTCCTTTAAAAGATATTCCTATTCCTCTAAATAAAGTCAAAATTCATGACCATAGTGCTTTAAATCCATCCCACATCTTTCAAAAAAATTATAGTGAGAACACAGTGTATGTCTCCTAAATATGAGCTTTTAAACCAGTTAATACACTACCAAATAGTTACTAACATCAAATATAGCAAAAAAAATATGTCTTCTTTCAGGGAGAATAAACTGATTGAGTTGATTGCTAGTGTTTAAATCCATTGTCAGCACATTCGACTATATCATGGCTGCCTGTTTTTATTGGTAGAACAGACATAATGTCCAAGAGAACCATCAAAGTTAGGCAGGGAAAACTGGCAATCCTAGTCATTTTAGATCTGAGTTAAACGCACCTTGCCACAAGCAGGGTATGAACTCACAAACTCAGTGTTTATAGGCTAATGCTCACTGTAGATGAACTACTTTGACCACAATGCCAGCAAGAGTTTTTAAATAAAATGTTTATTTTAAATTTAATAGTAAAAAAAATTTCATTCAGTAGCCAAAGTTACCTTCAGTTATTAGGAATGTTTATTTGACTTATTCAACAAAATAAAAAAATTCACATATTTATAAATTGATAAACATTATATCAATTATAACAAATGCATGCAAATATAATAATAAAAATGATGCTGGAAAAAGTTTTCATAGGAAACCTCAAGAAAAGGGGCAGGGGACTTCCAAGGTCTTCACAGGTTTTGTAATCTCTATAAAAATACCTAATGTTTTGCCCTTTAGTCCATCTAGTGTACTGTATGCTCTTGTTTCTAAAGTCTGAGCTATTTGTCTATGTAACATAAAATTATGAGCCACCATGTCATAAGTTTCTTTGTCCTTTGGATGGTAACGTTTTAGATAATCCAAAATAGCTAGCTTTAAACTATCCTCCTGTGAAAAAAAAATATTGCATAGAATCAAATGATGTAATAATTCCTTAAAGTATTTGAGAAAATTTTTCATTTGATAAAATATTTTTTTCAGAAAAAAACAAAACTACTTAAAACTAATGTTTAATCATAATCACTTCAAACAAATCAGCCTCATTCACTCTTACAACTGTGTCAAAGAAAGCAATACTGAATGAAGCAAATACCAATATCCTTAAAGCAAAACCATCCATTGAGTAGAATCATGTAAAATATAAAACCAAAGTAAACTTTACGATACTAACTATGATGTATTCACAAATCAAGTATTTTATACTCCTACCCTTGCATTGAAGATTAAAAAGTTGCCAACATGTAAAATATATGCAGCAGATCTTGGACGTTTCTCCTGTTCAGATATAATATATTTACTTTATTAGAGTCACTCATGCATATTATGTAGGTCACAATGACAAGTTCATGTTCACATCTTTAGAGTAGTGGTGTTGACACATTCTTAATCATGTTTTTTTTCTTCAAAATATTCATTTGGTATCTTTTTCATGGAATTTTTGGAAAAAACCAAGAAATTCAATACTTTATCAAAATCAATATTTATCGATACCATCATTCCTCCCCTTCCAATATTTGTATGTGAAAAGTATGATACCACAAATAGAAAAAATAAATAATTTACAATTTCTCTGAACTCATGAAAAAAGTGAAACTATTGCAAATTTTGAGGACAAGTATTTTTGCATTACTTTCAAGTAAAGTTTTATGCATGACCTCAAGTATATACAATATAGGAACTAATTGCTCCCATATATAGGTGAAAAGCAGACAATAAAAGAGATTTGAAATTGTAAAACTTACCCTGTCTATTCCCTTCTTCAGTAACAGCTCAAACCGCTCATTCTGTTTTATACTATCAAATATGTAGGTCATTTCACCAAATCTTCCAATACCTGTCAGTAATTGCACCTGAAAAACATTTAAAAAGCTTAGTATACACATGATATAATGTGCAATCAGTCCAAAAATGGTCAAAATTTTAAACTCAAGAATTCATATTTATAAAACACTATTGGAAGTTTTGCTTTGAGACAGTCATTATAATAGCCGACTTACTATCGAAAGCCTTCCTTTTAAACTCAGCTCTGTTTTGTTGGGTATATAACCCTGAACAGTTGGGGCAAAAATAGACACAATATTCGCGCTTAATACAGGTCTGAATTTGGATTGTAATTAAATATTTGACACATAATAGGTTTCTGACACAGAATAACTGTAGTCAAAGAACTTAGAATTGGTTATATGATTTGAATTTATATTCAATTTTTTGCTATTGTGCAATACACTTTGCTGTTGTGAATTGAACCCCCCCTCCCCCCACCAAAAAAAAAATGTACCCCACACAATTTCTTTTTACCCCCCTTTTTTCCCCCAAAAAAAATTCTTTCCCTCAAGATATGGTCATAATCTCAATTCAAATTTCCAATGGAGTTTGCAACCATAATTACCCATTTTTAAAATACATCATAAAAGAATAACATGCACACACTTTCATGGAAGAGTACAAATAGAAGTCTTGCCATTTAAACCTAGTTTGCATGCAAATTTAAACCAACGATCTGTACATATACAATTTCTCACCATTTTGTTTTTTGGGTAAAGTTTTTTTGACCATCATATCATATCACATATTTTCACAAAGTTAATGCACATGCTGAAATTCCACAAACTACTTATCTGAACAAATGGTATATCCTTACTGTGCTTTAAGATAATTCACTGATACATGTATGACGAAGAAAACAGATATCCTCTACTCTTTAGAAAGATCTCATTTTCATTATTATGATTGGAGTGTGGTATTGTTACCCAATTATCAGACATGACTTATGTTTTCTCTAATCAACATAAATAAAATGACAGCACTAAATACACCTTCAACAAGAACCCTCAAAGCTGAATATTTGAAAGCTGAGAATGTATAAGAAACGACAGTTGAAGAGCTATATCATAAAAAAATACCTAAAAATAATATCAAAATCCATCTCAGATCAACTTTGTCTGAGGGAGACGAGTTGAAACCTTAGTTCATAAGCTGTGATTTTCTGAAAACAATCTATACATTTCTTACCATGAGGGAGAACTGTTGTGTTGACTGTAAACAAGATGTCATAGCTCTCGCTGCTCGTAAAACATTAGATATACCTTCCATATTACATGCCACTGTGTGACAGGAGTGAGCTAATATTAACAAGTCTGTCTGCATGGCTAGCACTAAAAGTAGACAATAAATCAACTAAAACAACCTCTGAAATCTTCATTTTGCCACCTAAAAATTTTTGGTAAACTTAAAGAGTGGTGAAAAATCAAGATATTTATTACTTAACAATGTGAAATAATTAGGTAGCATTATAATTTCAAGTTAAACAAAAAAACAGATAAGAATTGAGCAACATCAATAGTTAACATTCCTTTATTCTAAATGTGGCAATTTGATGCCAGAAACTAGTTCCAAAATGAATTTGGGCTATTAAATTTTTTCAATAAATTAAGTGCACATTTATCTCTGCTTTTGTTAAAATTAAAACTAAAAAAAATCTAAGATAGTGGGTCTTCACCACTGAATTCAAATAAGATCAAATGAGATAAAAGAGATTAATGAGAGAAATGAGATTAAACATGTTAAATGAGATGTATGAGATGAACTAACCTTTTGGTGACATTAAGTCTTGATCCACTGACAATGATGTAACAGCATCTAAGAGTCTATCACCCAGTAGGGATGGATCAGGACATAACTTTATAAACTGTGTAACTACACCTATTGACTCATCAAAGATTAGTTCTCTTTTATCTACAATCAAACATAAAGTCAGAGCAACTCAGCTTAACAAAGTCTTAAGATAAAGTATGATTAATCATCATGAATAATAATGTGACATAGATTCCACTGTCAATCTCTCACTTAAACTTTAGTTTTAAGTAAGATTTACTATTTTGATCTAAGTGTCACTGATGAGTCTTATGTAGACGAAACGCGCGTCTGGCATATAAAAATTATAAGCCTGGGTCGATGCCACTGCTGGTGGACGTTTCGTCCCCGAGGGTATCACCAGCCCAGTAGTCAGCACTTCGGTGTTGACATGAATATCAATTATATGGTATTTTTTTTATACATTAACTGTTTGCAAAAGTAAAATTATTCAAAGTACTAAGGATTTTCTTATCCCAGGCATAGATTACCTTGGCTGTATTTGGCACAACTTTTTGGAATATTGGGTCCTCAATGCTCTTCAACTTTATACTTGTTTGGCTTTTCAACTATTTTGATCTAAGAATCACTGATGAGTCTTATGTAGACGAAACGTGCGTCTGGCGTATAAAAATTATAAGCCTGGTACCTTTGATAACTATTCCTAACTTTAAAGATTTGAGAACTTGATACTAATGAGGACTTTAAAATATTAGTATAACTATAACAGACAGAACTTATACTTATCATAGAATTTTATATTGATTAAGTGATTTATTCCAACAAATTTTGACAGAAAGAATAGTTTAAATGTTCTTTCCTATACCATAAAACCTCAACAGAACAGATTTGTCTATTAGATCAAATTAACAATACTATAATAGTATTTATTCACTTTTAAATATCAATTCCTATGTTTTAAAAAAAATGCATTTTCAACTGACATACACAATTGAAGATGTTTCAGCCATAAGGACTTCTTCATTTAAAGAGGGGGTGTCATCTCAAATTCCTAGAAAAATAAGGGCTGAATCCCAAAAATAAAACATTCTTTCCTGAGTCCCAATCAGTGTAAACCTTGAATTTCTGCCATAAAATAAGGCCTAATCCCATCGTCTCGAAAAAGGTCCTTCCACCCCACTTTAAATGTTTTATGATTCACATTAAAATGTACACATAGACTTCTAGATGTCTTTGTCTGTTTTTGTTGGTTTTATCAGGTTGCTGTCACATAAACATATATCCCACTTCTCTTTTAATTTGTTTTGCTTATCACTAGCGTTTACATAATATAAAATTACTTTGTTATGTTCTTAAATAATATTTTAATAAAATTATATCATTTCTCAAGTCTACAGAGACTGGACTTTGTTAATGCAAATTCAGAAATTATTGCAATGTTAATATAAATGCTTAAAATGCGACAGTATCAAGTTTGCAATAATTAAAACTTGCATTTATGTTTTCAGGAATGATTTTTTAATCGCATTAATCAGATTACTGTAAGCATTTTTGCTAGGTGTCAAGGATTCACATAATAAATTAATTTCTGAATTTACCATATACAGCTTGTAAACCATTGTGTGTACAATTTGACACAGTTTAAAAATTTCAAAAACAATCTGTTCACTATTTAGAGTACACATTTAAATACTGCTGGCTCTAACTAATTCAATTTTTAGATTAACTGACTCTCTTTAAGAAAATTTATCTTATTTCCTTTATTATAATTGCCAATTTATTTTATTATAATGGACAATTCTAAATAACATTTATCAGAATTCACATCATGTTTGGTATTAGAACAATTCTACTTCTGCATCACAACAACTCTTTAAAATGGAATATGATGAATTTCTACATGATAAAATAAGGATTTAAAGTCAACGAAAAACAAGATATAGTTTTTCAATATTTCCAAAAAAGATTTAATGCTTACTTCCATTATAATTGAACTATTTATCTATCAGACATTTAATTTTCTGGACATTATAGTTTTACCATTTCACACAAAAATATGAGCTATAATAGTCATTTGGATAAGGAGGTGACAAATTTGTGCCACAAATAATCGAGATATCAAGTTAATGAATCCGAGATGTCCATTTTATTACAAACATAATAGAAAAATGATGAATTGATGAGCATGCATTTAACAAATGCAGACATCTCAATAAAAGTGCCAAATTCCATTAGGACTTTAATTGATAGTGCCGACAATAAAGGCCGATAGCAATAAATTGCGAATCCATTTTTGAATACTGAATATCAATATTCAAGATAATACAAAGATGTTGTGACCCATTTCATTATACTGATAAATATTTCTTCAGAACTGTAATAAAACTTGCCAGTTAAGATGATGCAAGATTCTCGTAAGATTTGGATAGGTGTTACAAATTTTTCTACGAAATTATTACGAGCGATTGCTGTTATGTAAATGGAAGACCATTAAACCAGAGAAGTGTTGAGAACTCTCCGAGGGATGAAATATTCTGATATCAATGAAATGGTACTTCATCAAAATAAATAATCAAAACACATTCAATGACACAATTTTCAAACGAAAATTACTTTCACACTATTGTCATGAGCAAATAAAAGCCAAAGCACATTAGAAACGAACATTATATATTGATGGATATAACTTGTTCAACAGATAAGACAACATAAATCTATTGTTTAGATCCTCATCAAAATCGTTTAAACATAAAACCAAATCTACATTCTAGATGGTTGGTTATTAAACTGTTGTCACCTAACCGACCGTCTGCACTTGGCAAACTTGATAAAATCATGTGAATTAGTTGACGACTTAGATGTGGAGGAGGAAATTATCATTTAAAGGAGTAGCTAGTATTACCAATATAAAGACAAAAATATTTTTGAATTCTGCATGCACATTTCCTATCATATATGCCTATAAAAAAAATCTTAATTTTTCATGTTGAAAATTTTATATTTTTAAGAATACAAATCTGCAATCTGTTTAAACCAAATATAATTTAGAAATTTCAGCAATGAAAATTGAAAGGAAATGATTAAGACATTACCATTTTCTGTGCAACCAAGAGGTCAATATTTAGATGCTATCTTTGAAGCCAACTTTTGTATATGATCAGAGTTCAAGTACTTTAATTGCAGTTATTGAATAACATCTATTATGTAGAAATATGTTTCCGTATTCAAATGCAACAAAAAAAAAATATGAGACCAGCTCACAAATTAAATATTGTTTTCTTTTTAATGCCAGAAACATCAGTACAAAGAAAAACAAATACATTCCTTGCTATGGAGTATGATAAGATGTAATTTTAATAAAATCTAGTTTATAAAGTTAACCCTACAGCACAGAGATACGGGAATTTGAGGAATTACACCAAATTTTGTTAATTGTACATACAAGTACTTTTCATATGTCTGTAAACACATGTAATGCCCAAGCATGTGATATTAATATGATGGGTCGACGCACCTTTTTCGAGACGTAAGGATTAGGCATTTATTTTTGCAGGAATTCAGGATTGGGCCCTTATTTTCGCTGGAATTCAGCATTTACTGTTATTAGGACCCAGGAATTAAAGATTAAATATTCAGGATCCAGGAAAGAATGCACCCCTCCTACCACCCCTTTTATATAGATTCTACCCAACCACTCACTGATTATGATACTTATTCATTCAGATAGTTAAATGTTCATACTTTAAAATTAATTTAGTTTTAACAGAGCAGTTAACATTTTAAAAATTTAACTATTGAGATTAGATAAATTTTGTAATCAATTGGGTAAAGTGGTAGAATCTGTTTCTCAAATGGTTTAACGAAAAATTCCAGGTGTAATAATCCGAAAAAATATGGTGGGAAATTATATGGGACACGTTTGATCAAAGTGTGATGTATCAAAATTTAAAACAGGTCACAACTGGTTTAAGGATGTTCGCTCCTCTGTTTCAAAATAACAAGCTTTTTAAAAGACTATTATAAATTGACAGTATATAAATGAAGAAACTAAAAAAGTAGAAAAAAATGAAAGGTCCGTGTGCTTGTTTTCAAGATATAAGCCATTGTAAATTTGGCGGGAAATGATTCTCTTTAGATTTTTCATACATTTAACATTGGCACCTTTTTTTCTTTCAAAAACAATGAAAAAATAACAAGGATTTTATAGGATTTTCAAATATTGCTTTTTAAACTATACGTAATAAAATTATGAAAAGAAAAGTAGGGGTTAGTGGGCAAAATTTTTAATGGCACTACATGGATAAAACCAGAGGATTCCAAATATCTGGCAAAAAATCAAAAACAAGAGGAGCGAACATCCTTAATGAACACAAAAAAGAGAAATTGTTTCATGATATTGTTTGTATTCTTTCTGCAATATATATTATTGGTCAGGATCACTGCTTGTTAAAAGTTTACACATTGATAAATCTCATGTGCACACATGCACACTTCAGTATATTTACAACTATTCTTCAAATTACAAAAGTTTGAGGTTGCAAACTGTACTAGTTGAAAAATGGAGAAATCATTATTCCTACACAAGAAAATACAACAAAATGTATATGGTTTAACAACTATTAAAAATTTTGGGAGACATTAGGGAAAAAAAGAAATTCTTTCCATCTGAAAATCATGTGTACAATTGTTGGGCAAAATACAAAGGTACTAACGTGACTAAGTTCAACAACTGATGTTTTTTTTTTGGTATATGTACACGTTTTCTACAAGGAAAAAACAAATTGGTCCCAAGTGCCTGAATCGCTTACCTATATACAATATATAATATATTGCTGAGCGTTTTCGCTGTTTACAGTTTCTACCTATCTATCATAGTTTTCCAGATAAAAGGCAAAAGCTTAAAAATTAGTCATTATTTAAGGGCAATAACTCCTATTAAGAGTCCTACAATCATTTTGGTCATGTTGACATTTTTGTATATCTTGTTATGCTGAGCAGTTTAACTGTTCAAATTTTCAACTGATTTAATAAGGTTTACAAGATAACAGGCAAATACACTTGAAAATTAGAACAAAACCCCTCTTCAAGAGCAATAACTCCTAGAAGGAGCTATCCAATTGTTTGGATCATATTAACATTTTTATAGATATTGTGATGCTTTTTTCTTGAGAAAGTTGGAACAATCTAACACCTAGCTATAAGGAACACTAGTTTAAAATAAAGTATGATTTGGGTATGAAAACTTTCTCCATAATGATAGTTTATACTACTTATTCAGAACTTCTAAATTCAAGATAAACAGATTTTTTAGGGGGAACTTTTTTAGTTCAATTTTTGTACTTCAGAATTCAGTAGGAATTTCAAAAGTGATGACAGAAGGTTCAAAGGTATATGATTTTTTTATTGTATAATATACCATTATGATTATAATTACAGCTACATAGTTTAATTGACTTATACCCGATTTCCCCCAACCCCACCTTGTTCAAGACTTTATTATTCACACCCCTTGTTCCTTAGATTTCAGAATGTCATACCAAAACTAAATTAAAGCATTTCAATTACATAAATACTATTTTTCTCAGTTAGGTTGAACTAACCTAGTACCAGGTTTTGGTGCCAATATAGATATCCTATTTCAGACACACAAAAAATATGACCATGTTTGCAATTGGTTTCATCAAATCAAATTTTTCAACTGGTCAGAAATTTTACCAAACTGCTGCAGTTATTGTCACCAGTATGAAGCAAACTTATAATCCTATTAGATTTGAGTTCCACTTCATGGTTACTAGCATGCTGCTTATAATTTCTATACATATTTATTGCAATAAGTAAATTTTGAAATGCAATCTGAATTAAGTTTTCATACTACATGTAATACATTGTATTCCTTTTAAAATGTCTTCTATTTTATAAGAATAAGGCATCAATTTTAACTGAAAAATGTATTATTCAGTAAAATATATGTGAAGTTACAATAAAATGTCAGTAAGTTTCCATGGGAGATAATCTGATATAATCATTCCCCATTTTTTGTATGAAGTTTTGATTGGACTGTCTTATCTCCCTTTAAAACATCACGAAAAACATACTTAGATAAAACTATAGAGTAAGTTAGATAGAGAAATCCCTGTAACATGAAAAAAAGTATATTTAAAGAGAGATGATTCAAAATCTTAAATTTTTTTTTTAAAAAGGACATTTTTATAGCAATTCAGTACCTGGCCCGAGAGCACAGTTATTTTGTAGTGCATTTCTTTTAGACAAAAAATGCAAATTAAAAAAATCGCACCTGCTCTATCCAAAAAAAGATTTTTTACTGTGTAGTGTACTACTTTTGGGACAAATTATATCAAAATTATAGAAAAGTCTATCGTCTCTAACTCATCATATGGACAATTTTAAGTTAAGGGGGTCTGTAATTCAGCTTAAGATATACTAATTTTTGACCTTTTCAAACTTGACCAAATCACTACTTTACCTAAAAATTCTACCCCAAATTTTTTTTTAACATGTAATTTCATCGCCCTACTTACTATTTTATGCATAATTATAAAGAAATAAATTTGAAAGTGTATGAAAAAAATTTGCAAGTTTTACACTGTCCACACTAGGGACTATATTTGTAGACAACGAAAAGCAAAGGACGATAACTGTGTCCCTGGACCACCTAACCTTTAGCTTTCAAATAACTGATTAAAATCAATATGTATAGATGATATAAGCAGTATAATAGTAACCATGAAGTTGAATTCATATCAAATAGGATTGTAAAAATACTTTACTTTCAATCTAATTAAAAACCAATCTCACATTGCTCCTGTTTGTGAATAAGACTGCTTTATTTTTCACATTGCACTTCTAACAGTGATGATTTGACTGGTTTTTCTACGCAGTATGGTAAAATTTCTGACCAATTGAACAGTTTGATTTGATGCGACAAATTGCAATTTGGCTCAGAGACAGAAACGCTTACAATCAAATCACTGTTAATTATCATAAAAATTGGTTAAACAAATTTGAATTAACTTACAAAGTATTTTGCTATGCTAAATCAAATTTTTAAAAACATCAGGATGCATTGTACAATGTTTCAAAGACTATTATTTACATAAAAATGGTTAGTCATTTTAGTGTTTTAAAAATGCAGGAAAAAAAAAACCAAAAGAACTATGTGTTTATGAGCAGGGAGTCCAAAACAATTTGAGCAAGATTTTTATTTTGTTAAGTGTTATGATATGTGTTCATGACTCATAAGACAGGGATATTCCTGCCCTCAAAAGATAACCTAGTTTTGCACTTTAAGCCATTGTATAATGGAAACACCAAAATGTGGTAAATGGCACAATTCACCAATGTGTAGAAATTGCTATCACTAATTAAAAATTCAAATTGAAATTATATTTTAAGCTGTGGCATTCTCAACTTATTCAACAGAATTCTGAAAACCTTAAAACTTTTCTGAGCATTATGAAGGATATACTATGCTTCAAAACTTAATGTCAGAAGTCCATAAAATTTAACCAATATTTTTTTTATTTTCTTTGATTTTTTTTGTTAAAGACTGGTTTTGATCAAATATTTACCTCAGTAAAACACTTTAATTTTTGTTCACACTATTCAATATTTTACCCTGATTTATCTTGACAATCCTCTATAAACATTCTCAAAAAAGAATATATTGTTAAACAAAAAAGTCAAACTATGCAGATATACAACATCATGTCAACAACACTACATCCAATATTTACCTTGTACTGCAATTAGACCATGTTTTACTTTATAGAACGTGACAAATGATTCTGACAGGAATCCAGCAACCTATAAAAGAAAACATAATATGGTATCATATATGTGATATCATCTTCCATGTATGTATTCAACTTATTTGCTGCTAAAATTCAAAATAATGGTTTTGTTTCATTAAATATTTCACTGGATTAAAGAAAAGTAAGTCTGGCCTGTTGTATGGGGATTTTCATTCAGTACAGTGATGTGTGGGCCAGTGGGAAAAGAGGGAACTTGTTTTATGTTTTGTTTTAATAAAACCCAGAATTTACTTTTGGCAGATTTGTCCCAAAGTCAATATTCAGCATCATTCTCAAAAGAGGGTACCCACTTTTAATATGCCTTACAATTTTGTACTTGATCTGAGTTTTGTGGTAAAAAGCATTGTGTGTAAGTTTCATAACATTTGGCAAACTAAAGTTAGAGAAACGGAAACCAATACGGGACGTACATACGGACAGACGGACGTACAGACGTACAGACGGACAAGGGTAAAACTTAATGCCCCCTCTGCTACAGCGGGTGCATAAAAAAATTGGGTCATGAATTTAGGGTAAAATAGTGATTAGGTTTAGTTCAATAAAGGTATAAAATGAGTATGTATAATAATTATTAGATATAAATTGTCTCAAAAGTAGTACACTACGCTGCAAAAATGTTAGTAAGAAAAATGCAGGCAAGATTCTTTTAATTTGCATTTATTGTTCTAAAGAAATGCACTACAAATTCATTTTGTTATCAAGCAATAAATTTGATTATTCTGGTAAAAGGCCTTACCTCTTCTGGTGACAGTGAACTATTACTAAGGAAGTCAGCTGCAAGTTTTACTTTGTGTGGAAAATCAGTTTCCAATAAAGATCTTAAAATATCAAATGCTTCACTAGTGACCACTGATTCATAACTTGTAGCTAATACCTTTAAAAATATAAAATACCTAAATATAGACAAAACAGAATATCATGCATGTGTTGACACTATGAAGGTATCAAATCTTTTAACCCTTGACTGTTAAAATATTTGATATATAAATATTTTTTTTTTTTAACATTGATGTTGTAAGTTATTAGCAAGCAGTCCCAGGGTGAAGCTTTTTGGTGAGTGAGCATAATAAAGGAACCAAAAAGTTTGGTAATATGTCTAGCCACTTATATATTACAACGTTTACTTGCAGAAAACCCAACAATTTGTTTATTGTACTAATTCTGGTAATTTGTTTGCCTTCTATAGACATATTTTACAATTGTTGTCCATCCTGAAGTTAGCCTGATAAGTTCTGCTCTCACATTGTGATGTCAATGATACTCCAGAGTCCTGGTTCTCGTCAATAAGATAAGTTCTGCTCTGACATCACAAATTTACGATACAAGATTATGGATCGACTGAGCAGGGGGATATCAGCAAAAGGATTTTAATAAAAACAAAAATTCTGAATTTTCATAGTAAATTGATCAGGTATTTGATATTTTATACAAATTTGCTTCATTTAATGACTGATTTTTTTTTATTAATTATGACAAAACAGATTAATTGATATCATTTAACTTATTTTGTCAATCAATGCTATATAAAGTTGTAAGATTTTCTGCCTTGACTCAAAAATTGAATGCAATGAACTGTTGAAGTAATTTGGTCCTATGAACTGATTGTTTTCTAAAGATATCCCTAACCATTTTATAGACAAAATAATATATACAGCCAAGTCCTGGAATTTCGGTGAAGATGCATCCAATAAATCAAGGAACTAAAAATAAATAAAACAGCCACATTTTTTATGCTTCCATTTAAATGCAAGTTATTGGGGAAATATTTCAAAAGAATTAGCATTAACAGGGATGTTGATTGGGGTATGCTAAAGGTATCAATTTAAAAACAACAACACAGCAAAAATATAGTAAATCAATTTTAAGAAAACTTTAAAAATCTCATTAGAAATCTTCACATCAAAATATAAAGAAGTTAAATCAACCCAAAATAATCCATGGAATATCATATAAAATTATACATACCAAAGAAATGATAAAACAATTAATTATTTGCTTGCAAAACTGGTTTCCATGGTTACAGTGAGAACATAGAGTTTCCATGGTTACAACAACCTTTTCCATCTCTATTCCAAAACAGCTGTATGTTACTGGTCCCATAGGTACCATTAAATCTAGACAAAAAATATTTTAGCAAGTTCTTCAAACACTATTGGCAGATTTGAATATATTTTATGCTAAATAATTACATGTAACTTTTACAATTCAGCAAAAGTTCAAAAAAAGAGTATGTTCTTTTTTTTTTTTTTGTTATTGGGTTGCTGTCTCATTCATATATACCACCCATCTTATTTATTCATGTGGATGGAATTTCTTATTCAGTTAGAAGTTATCCAGCTATATTCTAGAAATGAATATGTATGTTCAAATATGTGATACAAAGATTCTTTCTCCTAAACTTATACAGTGGATTCAATTATTTTCCTGGGTACCAGTTTTCTTGGATTTGGGAAAACTTAAATTTCATGATTATTTGATTCTATGGTTTTGCCAAAGTTTGCATACAAGCATTGGTTTACCAATATCTATGAAATACAGGAAAATTGGTATCCCACGAATAATAATGAATCAACAGTTTTTTTTTTTAATTTTTACAGAGTATGACAAAAGACAAAGTGGTTCGTTACGTTGGTTGATAACGTTTGATTTTGTCATATTTTATGGATATCCCTTTCTTGAATTCACCTTGGAGTTCCACATTTTTGTATACTTTTCACACTGGGCTCTCTGTCATAAAACTTTGCTAAATACTAAGAGTACAAAATTTGTGCTTGGAACACAAAAACCAGTTGATTTCTGAGTCTGAGTACAAAAATCATACTCGAAAGTTGTATGACTGTACGCCCAGGTAAAAAAACCAACTTACTACTACTACTTGAAGATTTGGTGAGCAATGCAGGACTTGATACAGAAGCTCTGTGTAACTTTCCTGGACCTCCACTCACTAGATTGACCATATCCATGTCCATATTCTCTCTAATACTGACCTCTCCTAAAGCTAACCTGATACATGTCTATAATAAAATAAGCAAGGTAATTACGTTGCATTTTACATATCAAATCCTTTATAAGCCTAAGCTAATTTGAATGAACACTTTAATCAAATATGAGCTATACATTGGCTTATATTTTACTCTAAAATTACATCAAACATTCAGTATGAATTTTATTAGGTTCATTTTTTTTATTTCTTCAAAAAAATAACAACTTGAAGCAAACATTGAAATATTATCAATTTTTACTCATACTGACAATACATGAAATATTTGCCACTGGATATTTAGCAATTGATAAAATTAAATTCATCAGAATTAACTTACCAGAATTATAGTTAGATCCCTATTGTAATGTTTAAACTCTGCAGATAAATGACAACATTCACAAACTTGTCCATTTTCTAAAAGTTCCTCCATAATCCCATTCAAAGCAGTGTCCTCCTGAAATTAATGCACAACTTACATAATAAGTTAGTAAATTAAATAATACTGAATATCTACTTGTTTTATTTAAATTTCTTGTTCGTAACTTGATGCTATTTAAATCTTAGTTTCTATTTATAGCTTGTCATAGGGTTTGGATGTCCATATTTCCACCTCTTTATGTCTTTTTTTTTATAATACTGTACTGTTATGATGCTGTTTATCTGTATATATCAAGTTATACAATATACAAATTCTAATCTTAAATAAATAGTTTTCCATTGATTATTTTATCAAACTTACCTTTACATTCAAACTGGAATCTATTTCTGATTTTTGGGGAAGTTTACCGAAACATAATAGATCTTTCTTGTTGTGGTGCTGTTTAATTGTGTCTGTGCTTAGGAAAACATCATCCATGTCTTCAACTGTTGGCATAGTACTCTAAGTAAAATTGTAGATTTAATTGTGTAATCATCTTTTATGGAGATATATTACGTATTATTGAATTTTTGTACAAATTATATAAAGAAATATCCTTTAATTCTAATATGACTTTCTTCTTTTGCTTTGTTAACAAAGCCATATTTTAATTAAATATAATGGAATATTGGGTGCACCTGATTGAAGTTACAATTAAAATTGCAATGGCAGTTGTATTAAAACAGTGACAGAGATCATTAGGACAAATGGTCATCTATCAAAATATGTATAGGGAAAATTCAATTAAAACCTTTTTATGACTGTATATCATTTAACAAATTTGCATTAATAATATTGGAATCTCAAAATCCCGAGTTCTCATGACACTTATTTTGCAAAAAGAGGAGCAATAATTAATTTCCTGTTTAAAATCAAATGCAGATATGACTGGTTTCCATTCAGTGATGCTATTCTCACTGATGCTCACAAGATGGGTTTTATTTAAATGAGCCTGACTCTACCTAGTTTGATTTATAGATTTGCTTCTATACTGGAGCTCTAGATCTATATTGTTACTTTCATTCTGATTACCAAATACAATACCTTCTGTTTTGTTTTATATTGGATGCGACACATCCACATCTGTCGATATAATTCTTCATATGGTGGAGGATCCTTACAACTTTCTAAATGATCTAAACATAGTTGATACAAGAAGGACTTCTCTAAAAAGTCTTCTATTTTTTCTGCTTCTTCCTAGAAAACAAATAAAAGAAAAATGTTGTATTCATTCAAATGCAATAAATAATAAAGATTTCTGTATGTTTGACTATGTGAGTCCTAAAAGCTGTAAGACATCATTAATAAAATTTTAAATAAAATAAAATAATCAAAACCATCATTACTTACATTATCCTCATATTAATTTTGCCACTTAAACTAATTTTCCCAGTGTTGTTACTTTCATACTTATTACTGAGGTATTTTTTTCATAAAACACTGTAGATTTATCATTATTTGTGGGAAACCATTTTTTAGTGGATTTCATTGGTATATGAAAACCACAAATTCAAATGCACAACAAAATAAAAATTTCATATAGGCTTGCATGCAGGCTTTGGCAAAACCATGAAATCAAATATACATAAAAATATATTTTTTCCTTAATTGTTCTCAAAAATAAACTAATCCACAGTATTAAAGTGCCTCCCAGTAAAGATAATTACTGTAATGGCAACTGAAATGTTCTATATTACAAATTTTAGTACACTTAAATTATTTTATTATGAAGAAATTATGAAAGAATATGCATATTCACATAAAAAAAAAAATATAGTATTAAATCTTTTCAATTTTCAATGTAGGAAAACAATTTTAAAATTGGATTGAAAAATATGCAGATATTCATTTATAAACTGTGATAATATTTGAAGTTAAAACCATTCAAATTGCAAATAATTAACTTGAAACTTGCTGAATGCTAACAAAACTGAGTTGAGATAACTAAGAATTTGCTAGTAGTTGATCAGAGATTTTACTTTATTAAATTATATGTTATTTCCAAATCTTTTATCACTATTTATCAACCAAAAACTAAAAAGGCTGTTAAATTTTTTATATTACACTATACAATTACGGCCCTCTGTGGAGGGGGGTATCCAAAATTTTCAACCCTGCTAAGGGATATTTCCTGAGAGCTTTAACTGTTTGATTATACCAAACAAATATTGGCATTCAATATGGCCTGTGGAAAAAGAATGGGTTATTTTACGGGGGTGAATAATAGGGTTATTCACAGGATGGTATAATTTGTCGAGGTTATTCACCGGCCCTGCCAAAATATTCGAATTAATTCACACCACATGATCTTTTATCAGCCAATAGATTTATTCAATTATACTGTAATGTAAAATTATCATATTTGATTTATTACAGCTCTTTTCATAATGCTAGCAAGACAAAGGTTTGTTTGACTTGCTTGCTTTGTTTGTATAAATGTTTGCTCAAGCATTGTAATTAAGATTGACATCTGCAAACAATATAAGAAGGCGGAGTTAAACCTGTGTGTTGTAATTTCTGCTTTTTGCTATGTTTTTGTATAGTTATAAGCAAATATATATGACGGAAACTCTTTAAATTGACTAACTACAGTGTTGTCTGTCTTTCATCAGGCCTATGTTCTCCACGGTAATATTGGTAGCGTAAATGAATAATTCCTAGTAAAATAATATATTTATTACGGCACAACGCAACAATGTACAGACTAAACTATCGTAATATATTTAACATGTAATTTCCAACGTATTCTCAAGATACTTGTCTATAAATAATTTGTCATGTAAATTTGCATAAATAGGCGGAGCTGATCTCAATAATAATATTTCGCATGTGTTTTTGGAACTAGGATAAGGAATTGCCAAACGATATGTGTATAGTAAATAATTTAGACCATGCGAGGCATACAGCTATCTGCGCTGCTTCTTACCTCTAAAGGAACCACCCGGGATCTTTGCATTTGCCAAAATGTAAACAGCAAAGACTCAGGAATTTGACCTTTGCACTGGTATTTATTTTTAAAATACCGGAAGTAAATATTCTAAGCCGGAACAGAAATGAAACGTCAAACGCTGACAAAAACATGGGAGTCCTCGACTCAAAATGATCCTTTCTTCGTAAGAAAATAGGTAAATCTATTAAGATAAAGCATATATTAACTTTAGCTTATGCTTCTTGTGTAGTTTTGGATCCATACTTAGAATATTTACCAAATGGCTGCGCTTTGAATAGTACATGACGAAATTGCGCCATTTTTGGCACTGATAATATAGTTAATAACTAAAAGTGTAACGTACGCTTTCTGTGCATTAAAAAGTCACAGAAACTATAAATACATATTATCACATTTTACACTCTCAAAACATAAAACTGATATTAAATCATTAATTGGGAACCACAAGTGCACATTTACAACACTGCCCCTCCCTAAGAATTTATTTCGTCCTCGAAATATTGAAGTTCATTTTAGTTTATAACAACGAACTAATGCGCCCGTTTAAAGAATTGCATCTATAAACAAACTAATGCGCCTGTTTATGAGTGTTAAAAATGATTTCCTTACATTGAATATAAAAAAATATTTAAATTTTCAGTTCATGTGCACTCCTCCCTTTCATCATATATAGAAATGTACTCATAAAAATACAAAGAAAAATCAGAACATATTTATATCATGTGTTACCATAAGTAAAAATATTAAAGTCATTTAAAAACGGTATCTTTTTCTGGGTAACAAGTCCTTCTTATAGGATTTATTAACTTTGTGTGCAAATTCTTTCCATACTTCCACACTTGACTTCGGCCGTATAACTACACTTTTTAGTTTCTTCTTAGTTGGACTGGGACTTTTATTCATTGGTCTTTTAGTTGTATTATTGTTTGTATCCTAGAATTTCTCTTGTAATCTTACTGTTTCCTCATCTGGATTATTCCAAAGCCCTTCGAAACCATCTAATGCATGCGAACTGAGTGTGCCATATTTTGGTAAATTTTCATACTCGTCTATTGTTACGATCATTGAATTAAGATTTTTGACTTCTTCTTCTTTTTGGTCAAGTCTGGTTTGTTAATGAAATCTGCCAATTTGTTAGTTTCAATTTTATGTGTCTCCCTTTCTATTTTTAACTGCTCTTCCAACAGGCTTACACGCTGTGGAAGATCTTCATCTGTTTGACAGGAGTTGTCTTTTGGTTTATTAATTTCTGTAATATCATCTGATGAGTAGTCGTCGTAATCTGGAATAAAGTCTTCTTCTTCCTGAATTTCTGCATATCTTACGGCTTTTTGTAAAATATCTTCCTCTGTAATGTTGGTTGGGTCTTCCATGGCAACCACATCTGACAAAGAAACTGATTCCTCAGTTTGTACAACCATTCCTTGTCTCGGTATCGACTCTGCCTGCAATATTTGAACATCTCCTCTTTTATCATGGGTGAAGGTCACATCGTAAGGTTTACTGGTTCCAATACATTGTTGCTGACTTAGGTTCTGATGTGAATTCATCAATTTATGTTTTTGTTGATCGAAATGCTTGATGAGTTGAATATTGTTTTTGGCTCTATACTGACAGAGGGTGCAGTGGAACGGAACAGATTCTAGTGACGTATGATGTCTAATAACATGCCATTTAATTACTTTCTTTGAAGAAGTTTTAAAAGAACACAGATTCCCATTACAGGCAAACATGATTTTATCTGCAATAAAATATATCTTTTGTATATATATATATAAATATATATAATGAGAGGAATAAGCTTTATATTACTTTTGGCTTAATGGAGCTCTGGATTTTGTGTACCCAAATTGGAGGTTGTTGTGTAGAGTATGGTTTTAATCGATCATGATGTATAATTTCTGTTTTCTTCTAGTTCGAATTTTGTATACAACAGGGCTTAGTATTTCCATCACCACATATGGACCTGACCATGGGGCATCTAACTTTCTATAAAATGTATTGCTTTTGTATACCAAAGACCCCACTGTAAATTTATTTTCGACCAGCCGAGTATCGTAGTCTTTTTTCTGACGTTCTGCTGTCAGCTGTAAACTTTCTCTAGCTGTTTTAAACACTTCCTCCATCCTGTTATGTAGTTTTGAAGCATACTCACCAACACTTAAAGATTCATGTTTTGGTAAGGGGAATAGAATATGATTTGGCAAATTTACCTCCCTTCCGAACATCAAAAAGTTTGGAGTGAAACCTGATGCTGGATGTGGAGTGCTGCGATAAGCAGCTAGTAATAACCCTACAAATTGGTCCCAATTCGTCTTGTTGTTATTTATAAAACTTCTCAACATTTTTTCCAGGGTCTGATTGAATTTTTCTATAAGTCCATTTGATGATGGTCGATAAGGTGTGGAGCGAGTTTTCTTTATCTCTAGTAAAGTGCATATTTCTTTGAAAAGGTCAGACTCAAAGTTTCTACCTTGATCAGTGTGTATTTCTAAAGGAATACCAAATCTACCAATGAATTCATGCACTAGTTTCTCTGCGACCTGTTCTGCTTGTTGGTTGGGAAGTGGATAGGCCTCCATCCAGCGTGTGAAATGGTCACCGATTACTAAAATGTATTGATTGCTACTTTTTGTTTTTGGTAATGGGCCGATCACATCTAAAGCTATTCTGTCCATTGGGTGACCCACTATATAATTTTGCAGAGAGGCCCTAGGTTTTTTACTTTTCTTAAACCTATTGCATACAGGACAATGTTTTATATGGCTTTTTACATCAATTCCCATACAGTACCAGTGAAATTGGGATTTCAGCTTTTCAATAGTTTTACTCACCCCCATGTGAGCTCCAAAAATATGATCATGACACATTGTTATAACTTCTTGTCTTAGGACTTTAGGTACCAAAATTTGGAGACTGGATGTTCCTGTAGGATGTACTCTTTTTTGATAAAGTACCCCTTCTACAGGTACTATGTTATTAAAGCTTAACCAGTATTTATGTATAGCTGGGCTATATTGTACAACTTGGTCCCGAGTAGGGCAGGAACCGGTGTCTTTCCATTCATGGAGCCTACCTAAATCTGTATCCTCTCTTTGTAGAGCTTCAATTTCTTTAGAGGTGTACCCCGTGAACCAGTTTGACACATTTACCTTTGAGGAGGGAGTATCTTTGGTCTGACTCCTTGTAACTGTACGTATTGAGTCAAAATGCCCATGAATAATTACCTCACCTTTACTAAGGTTAC